GAAGTTTGGGCATTTTATAAATTTTATTATTAAAATTTGGATGGCCCAGATTTAATGAAGAATTAAATGGATGGCTTGGATGTAAGGAAAACAAAAATAAATAAATATAAGTGAAATAAGGTTTTTGTGTGTGTGTGTGCGTGAGAGGAAGAAACAGAGGAAGGAGATTGGGCAGAAATGCCCAATCGGGACAAGAGAGAAGAAGGCATCAGGAGGGATTGAGAGAGGGAGAAGCCGACCAATCGGAACAGAGGAAAGGAGGAAAGGAGAGAGGGCGAGAAGCGGAGGAGAGAAGATCAGAAAACGCGTTTTTCCCCAACCCGTTTACCCGCGACACCCACACCCAAATTCCGGCGATTGTCATCGGATTTCTCACAAATTGAATCAAGGTACCACTTCCAATCAACACCTAGGCCTTCCCTCTTCATGTTTCATCCCAAAAATCATGAAATTTCGTGGTGATTTCGCGAAGAACATCCACACAGGTGTCGCGACCTTCTTGTCCAAATTCTTCAAATCCTGAAATGTTTTCTTTCAATTACTAACACCATTAGTATTCCCTTAGGACCTGGAACGAAGCCCAAGCTTTGATTTGGACGGTGGAGTTGATTTGAAGGTCGAATTGGAACTCACCCAATTCTAGGGTCCGCACGGAATTTGATGAATTTGAAGTGTTTCCAGGCCAAATTGGCCTTGGCCACAGATATGAAAGTTACTCTACTCATTGAGATCTTCGATTATGTATTTTTTGAGAATTTTTGGAAATAGTTGGATTTTCCGGCGAGCCAGGGCGGCCGACCGCCACCTGCGGCAACGCGTGGCCAATGGCCCGCCAATTTCATTCTTAGCATGTGTTTAAGGTTCTAGGTTCAGTTTTGATAATTGTTGGACGTAAATTGAGTAATTGAACCTAAGTTCGTTACGATTCGTGGTTAGGTAAAAATGTGAATTGACGATCCGACCGTTGGATCATCACCAAACTTTGATACGTTGTAATACATAATATTTTAGGATTATAGGAACCTACGGATCGGAAATCCGATATACGGATCTTTCGGAATTGGAGTTGTAAGTTCATAATGTAGAATGTTAACCGTCACTTGGTTTTGGAAATTGACGGAGATTCGACCGTTGGATGGTAATGAAATTTTAGGATGATGTCCTAGAGGTATATTGTGGACCTCTAGAAGTTATGGATTTGAAATCTGAGTTGCAGATCTTTCGGATCGAACTACGTAGTGACGTGTCTTATATAAGTTATATATTCTATCGATATGAATTCTGAGGTTGGATTTGATTATCGTTCTAGGCGCTGATCGTCACGATGCCTTGATGTGTGGTGCTAGGGAGTTGTTGGGCGAACTCCAGGTGAGTGGGCAGTTTTATTTTTCGTATTACCTATATACTATTAATTGTCCTAGAAATTGAATTTATATGAAAGTATGTTTTCAATTGCCATGATGCATATTATAAATTATATGAATTGATATTGATGCATATATATATGTGAATTGGTGCTGTGGACGCACATGTGAGTATCAGGTGAGTTTATATGGTTTATATGAATGAATGATGATGTGAATTATGTTGAGAGCTCGTAACCTGCACCCTTGGTGTTAGTGCTTATGTTATTCACCCTGCATTACACGCTCACCTTGGATCCAAGTAGATGCTAGTCGTACAGACCATTAGAGGTGGTTCCGACATGTTAGTCGTACAGACCACTAGAGGTGGTTCCGACATGCCAGTCGTACAGACCATTAGAGGGGTTCTGACTGGTAGGTGACCTTAGATTATGTGCACAGATGATTAATGAGAGAAGCACTAGAGCGTATTATTTCACCATCTTAGTCGTACAGACTACTATAGGTAGTTCCGACTTATGTGCAGTGTAGTGCCGTACAGGTCACAGTTGGTGACTCCGGCAGGGCCGTACAGGTCACAGTTGGTGACTCCGGCTGGATGGATATTGAGCTATAGAATCAGCTGTACAAGACCACTGTAGGGTCTCGGGTTGATTTATTATTTCACCTGAATTATATTGATGCATTCACATTATATTTTGGCATTGGCTTGGCATGGCATATTCTTTCTGAAAAGCGTTGAAGGATTATAATTTGAGCTTTTGATGATACATATATATGTTTATATATTATTATGTTATTTTCTGGGAAAGTATTCGGGTTTTACAGCGAGGGGCTAGAAATGTTTTAAAGGAAATGTTTTCGAAAAACTTTGTTGTACTGACCCACTCAATTTTGTTTTGCGCCCCTCCAGGTTCTAGTTAGCAGAGCTTTGGTGGCTACGAGGAATCCAGCGGTGTTCTGACAGAAGTCACAAAAGTAGGACTCCCCCTCGGGTGTTTTATCATAGTAATTGTATTTTTTTAAGCTTTCGAACTGTGTAAATGGTTACGTCACACTCACGTGACGGCCAGCACGCCCTCCTTTGGGACCGGGTGTGTCAATAAGTCTAGTCTCTCAACTAACCCACTCATGGAGATTGATACCTTATAGTTATAGAGTAACTGTTTGCACATCTTCTTGAGCCAGTGTAGTGAATATTTGCCATTATAACAGTTAAACGATAAAAAAAATATATGCCGATTAGAAAGGCAAGGCCGACGCTTTACTAATAAGGGTTAGCTTTGCTTCTCTAACTCCACCAGAGTACTTTTTTTGGAAAGTCAACTATTTATTTTTTAAGATATCCAACTATTAAGTATACAAGTCAGCAATACAGTTAGCAATACAATTAGTAAGTTGGTTAGAGTAGTTAGGCTTTCTCTTATAAAAATAGTTGTGTAACCTTCATTCTATTAATCAATACAAAAGCATGTTTCTCTATCTAAATCTCTCTCTCTAAAACTCTTTATCAGGGCCGACCCAGGCCCAGTGCAAGCAGGGCGACCGTCCAGGACCCAAAAAAATTAGGGGCACCAAAATTATTAGGGTGGTATATTTATATATGTTTTTATAAGAGTATAAATTTATAAAATTTGGTTCAAAGGCAGAGAAATTTAACTAGAAGTGGTGGTTCGTCATTTGAAAATAATGAGGAGGTCTTGGGTTCAAAACACCCTATGTGCTTATTTACTTTCTATTTTTTACAAATTTCTTTTTATAAGAGTATAAATTTATAAAATTTGGTTAAAGGATCAAGAAGTTTAATTAGAAACAATGATTTTTATTGTTTAAAATTAACAAGAGGTTCTAAGTTTGAAATGCTATGTGCATGTTTATTCTTTTCAATTTTTACAAATTTTTGTTTGGTTGTTAATTTATTTTTAGTTACTATCTAGTAGCTATGTGGGTTGTTATTTTTAAATATTCGTTTTAATTCAAGTCTAATCTTCAACAAAGAATAATACGTATACCAAATTTGCAAATTATATGACATGTCATCAAAATGTTTAATTTAGTGCCCATTCATTAATAATACATATCAATTAAAGACTCGAAAACATCATTATTTTTTAGTCCCGTATTGACAAAGTTAGTAAATAAGAAAAAAACACCTCACGATTTATTCAAAAACACATTTAAAGTTCAGATGGAAAACAAAATTCATCATCTATCTACTTGTAAGCCCGAAATTTTTTTGTTTCCCTCTCTCAATACAAAATAAATTAGTCTTTCTGTGTTTCTAAATTATTGAGTTTGAAGTGTTTTTCTAAGTATAATTTTTTCGATGTCTTATGTGTAAAAATAAATAATTTTCTTACATGAAGTTAGTGCACTTTTTTTTACGTCGCCCCAGGCCTAAAAAATCTCTGGACCGGCCCTGCTCTCTATGCTCATCTTTCTTCTTGATTTTCTCTTCAATTCCCAAACATTGCAATGTAGTTAACACAAACAACGTGTAAAAAAAAAATCATATGTTAGTTTAAATGTTTATCTTGAGAATGAGTTTCACACTGAATCTTTTTTTATGTGTTTATATGTAGTTAATCTATTTTCTATATTGCTAATTAATTTTTTGATAAAATCTGAATTTTCCTCGTAGTATCAGATTAAGTTATTCTAGATATGAAAGCCCAACAGCTAAACAATCTGAACACCAAACATCTCTTCAAACCAAACATCTCTTCAAACGGAGCATTTTTGTTCATTACATAATTATCGTGTATACTCACTATGTACCTAATCATCTGACATGATAAAATAGTATGCGACATAATTAGTTCTATAATAAACATAAGTAATCAGCCGCTCTTTCATAAAAATAAGAATTTAGTTTTGAATTGCCCTCAGTCGTGAGTCATGACGCACGCAGACTGAGTACAATTGCTTCAAGCATACGTAATCAGCAGCTCTGTTACCAACATACAGCTGTCATCTAAAACCCCTTCAGCATTACTGTTTCATATCCGCGCAGGACAGGAAGCAAACCACATCCACATGCGACTTTTGGTCCTTGGACGAGATTAAATATTAATTAATTAAACCAAGACTACCCAAATCAGAATTCGGTGATCCGTTTATAGTATATCGTGCAGTTAGAAATTATTTAATTTTTTTTATTTAAAATTAAACACAAACAGTACTTGACGAAAACTGATTGCACGATAAATGAAGATAATTCACGAATCTCGGGAATTCTCCTCAGAGAATCATGTTGGCCCAATTCACAGTAATTAACTAGCCTTAATTAATTTTTTATAAGGGAATTAAGAATACTTAGTGGTCATGTTACTGTTTGTGATATGTTCTGGTGAGCTGAGTTGAACAAAACCAGGAAAATTAGAGGGGAGTCCAATGGTCTTAGGGCCTTACAAAAACGCGGTGGTCTCATGAGTCACTCATGACCAACGACTTCAATGGGAAAGGAGGGAAAAAACCTTCAATCTCGTCCGTTGAGTCGGTACTTGGAATTGGTATTTGGTATGTAGTTGAAAAGTAATCTGGCCCTGTTTTAGTACCGTCCCCTTCATCCCTCGTCTCTTTGCGCCTTCCTTCCTCCTCCCTCGTATCTACAGTTTTCGTTTCAAACACGTCCCTCTCTCTCCTCTCTCTCTCTCTCTCTCTCTCTCTCTCTCTCTCTCTCTCTCCAAAACTTGGATATTTGAGGTCCCACAATTGGTTTTAGAATTTTCCCATTTCTTTATCTTGAGGTCCGTTCTCACAACTTTCTCTTTCGATTTCGATCCATCCACACCTTTCACTTCAAATTCTGATTTGTGTTTCTATCTTTTTCCAATTTCCAACTGGGTTTTCTTTTATTTGCTTCATTTCCTTCGATTTCCCATCTGGGTCTCCACACTTCAATTCTCCCGTTTCTTTGACCTTTCTTTCTACTAGTCTCCCCTCCCGTCTTCTTCTCCAACTCTCTCTCTCTCTCTCTCTCTCTCTCTCTATATATATATATATATTCCAATTGGGTGTTCTCTTTCTTCTTTCAATGAATCCAAGTTACCACTTTTACAACTCCACATATCCCATTTGATTTGAGCTCTTGAGGCCGCTGATTTTGTTTAGACCTTGCAACAGAAGGAATAAAGAAATGAAGTGTTTCTTTTATTTCAAGGAAAAATGCAAGAGCAAAAGAGAAGGATCACAATCCGCTCCAGAATTGAGAAACAGAAGCAATCCGGTTTTGGATCGCACAACGAAATCTTCGAGTTCAGTGCCATCTCCGAAGAGCATACCAGAATTGTACAGAGAAAAGGAGCAGAATTTGAGAGTTTTCTCCCTCCAAGAGCTGCGGGAAGCAACAAATAGTTTCAACAGGTTGCTTAAGCTCGGGGAAGGAGGTTTTGGGAGTGTTTATAAAGGAACAATCAGGCCTGCCGATGGAGAAAGGGGTAGTCCGATTTTGGTTGCCATCAAGAAGTTAAACCCTCAGAGTTTACAGGTTCTAAAAATATTTTCCTTAATTAAATATAATTTTCTTCAAAATTTTCCACTCCAATTGATTGTGATGGTTTGCATTGCATTTCATTGAATGGTATGATATGTGATCTTTATATTGCACTTCCATCCCGTGTTCGAAAATCCCCTCCCCTTATTTTAACTCCGGCTGTACAATTTTATCTGACGCTGCCAATCCCAAGTCCGTAGGACGAGGGCGAGTGCGTCAGGTAGTCGACAGCCGGCACTTTGCTTAACAAGGCTCTTTCTGGTTATCATATTTTTCGCACGTTACATTTAACAGCCTTTTATATTTCTCTCACATTTTGTTTAACTTCTGGTTATGAACTTTTCTCAAACAGGGTCATAAAGAATGGCTTGCGGAAGTTCAATTTCTTGGCGTCGTAGAGCACCCAAATCTGGTAAAACTTTTAGGTTACTGTTCTGTAGATGGAGAAAGAAGGATACAACGGTTGTTGGTGTATGAATTTGTGCCTAATAGAAGCTTAGAAGACCTTTTCAACAGGGCTTTGCCCACATTGCCTTGGATAACAAGATTACAGATTATGCTTGGTGCTGCTCAAGGATTGGCTTATCTGCACATGGGACTCGAAGTCCAGGTCCATATACATTCTCTTCGTTTTATCTGATTTGACTAGAACTTCGACATCGTTTGGACATAGGGTTCCTCTTTGTCAACTTTTTGGTTTCGACTATGTTAATTTAACCGATCAGGGATTTGGACTGTGTTTTGATGTTCCAATTATTAGAGGTCGCACTTGGTGTGATGGCAAGTGCCTTCGCCCATGAGCGGTAGGTCTCGGGTTCGAGACTTGGGAGCAGCCTCTCCATAAATGGGGGTAAGGCTAGCCGACATTCACCTCTCCCAGACCCTGCGTAAAGCGGGAGCCTTGTGCACTGGGTACGACATTCTTTTCTACTTACAAGCTGTTCTCTCTGCTTCCGAAAATTAAAAAAGGGTATGTGCCACTCATGTGATTGCCACAAGTTTGGTAGAGTTATAGAAAATATGAAACTAGTCCTTGTAAATTAAAACCAATAAATGTGCTGTTAGATTCAAGTTGTTTTAGAGGAAATGAAAATGACCATCGCTATAAAAATGTGTCGAAAACATGTAGTATGGACTATTGCTGTTAAATGAAAACCAAGAAAATTTACTGCTAGATTTGAGTCGTTTCAGGGGAAACAAAAAAGTGTCACCACTAGAAAGTGTGCAGATGTTTTCTATTCTTTGATGATGGTGGTGTTACGGTGTTACAGAGGTAAGTTCAGCTTCACTTGTAAGCTTGAAGAAATAAAAATCCTCGTCTTCTGATTTTACTTGTGGCAATCCAAATGCTGCAGAATTTGTGTGTAGATTCATAGGATACACTTGCTGACCGGTCACACGGTGATTTTGTACTTTTTAGAAGATAAGTTCTTATTCATATATGTATTGAACCATGCTGTATTACATTATATGGACAGGTAATATTTCGAGATTTCAAATCCTCAAATGTGCTATTGGATGAAGAATTTAGGCCAAAGCTCTCAGACTTCGGGCTTGCTAGAGAAGGACCAACGGATGACCGTAGTCATGTATCAACCTCGGTAAGTAGAGTAGTCATAGACAATTTATTTGTGTGTGCTTCCCTTTTTGTGTAAAATGAGGGGCTAGAGTCCCAAAACTGACCCTCTTAATTCTGGGCCATGCTATACCAGCTACATATATAGTGGCATATTTATAGGTTGCATTAGCAGCTTATCCTGTCACTCGTATGACATATAGGGTGCGTTTGTTGCACTGGACTGTCTCGGACTGGACTAGCTTCAGGGACTAAGCTGGACTGACTTAGACTAGACTAAGCTGGACTAGCTTAGTGAAGCGTTTGGTGCAGCGTCGGACTAAAAAACAGGATAATTAATAACTATAATATTATATTATATAATACACATCTAATAATATTTTATTATTAATTCAATAATATTTTATTACTAAATCAAGCTTTTTCTTTTTTATTTCCAAAGTACACAGCCAGGCACTCCACTGCTCTCTCTGGAGAGTTCTTCCCTTTTCTTCCTCTTTAGTTTCGTTCCCCATCACTTCTTTTCTCCTTCTTCTTCCTGCAAGACAACATCCTTCAAATCATTTTTCTTGCAAATCGTCCCCCGTGCTACTCTCCCCTCCCTCTCTGTCTCTCCATTTCTCTTTGTCCCAAAGCTACTCTCTCCCCTTCTCTATCCATTCTTTCCGAAATTTTCTGGGGCAAAGGAAAAAAATTTGGAAATTTTCTGGGAATATTCGGGAATAAGGAAGAATTTTGCTATTGGGATTGTTGTTGTTATCGTTTTGCATATATGTTTTTGAATTTTGGTGTTGAGATTTAGGCAGTGGGTAGGACTGTGTTTTAGATCTAGACATGGGTTGGCAAACGGAGTTGCCCAGAAGCATTCTTGCAGATTTGTAGTTCACAAGACTTGCTGCATGCGATCGTCCTATGCAAGTTCTGGAGACGGGATTAGCAATCCCATGGTTTTTGGGGGGCTTAGCAAAGACCGGCTAGACCCTGTTTTAGTCGGGACGAGTGAGAGCTAGTCTCATTAACTCTAAGCCCTATGGGAAACAAACACGGGACTGGACTAACCCTTAGTCCAGTCCAATCCAGTGAACTTTAGTGAGGGAAAACAAACACCCCCATAAGGTCAAAAACATCGCTAGTTCCACCCAAGTTAGCCGTCTCAGTACATTTCATAGTATAGTCCCATTTTTTTTCAAGACATGACACAAGTTATTTGCACCTTAGTTTCATTTGAATTTTGGTCTTGAACTTACTGATGGAATTCTCTTGTGCCTCGTTTGGAACATCAGACAGGATTGGGACTGGTCCATTCTACTCTCATGGGGACCGACCCCTGTAGAGGGGACTGGTTGTCTATGATTATATTCGACAGGCATTCAATTTGGTAGTCTAGTCCCATTATTATTAAGTTCACACATGCGACGTGACTGTGTCCGTCCATTTTAAATGAATTCCCCCTCTACAGTCCCATTGTCCACACGCGGTCTTGGTTTCCCCATTCAAAGGTTGGCCACTATCTTCTTTGAAGTGCGCTGTGTGCTTGGAAGAAACATTGGGATTCGCTGTTGAAATTTAATTGTCTGTATCTGTTCAAGATTTATCACTTACGCATATTGTATTTGATATTGTATCCATCAGGTGGTGGGGACTTACGGATACGCAGCCCCAGAATATATTGAAACGGGCCATCTCTCAACTAGTAGTGACTTGTGGAGTTTTGGTGTGGTGCTGTACGAGATCCTAACAGGCAGGCGTGTCTTAGACAAGAACCGCCCTACAGCAGAACAGAAGCTTCTTTACTGGGTTAGACAGTTCCCTGCTGACAGTAAAAGGTTCAGCATGATAATAGATCCCCTACTGAGAGACCAGTACTCTCTTACTGCAGCTCGGAATGTTGCCAAGTTGGCCGATAGCTGTCTGAACAAGAACGCAAAGGAACGGCCAACAATGAGTCAGGTGGTAGAGGTGTTGGAGCAAGCTCTACAAGATTCACAAGGGAGCACCAGTTCTTCAAAGACAAGTTCTGAGGCATCTACGTCCAAATCGGCGAAGCGGAGACCCAAGTAGGATTGATATAAAGAGAGTGCACTATATATAAATACTAGTGGTGTGTTGTGACTAAGTTCTCTATAAATATTCTCAACAGATTCAAATGGTTGCATATTATAACATTCTTTTTCAGGGACTTCCAGGTACAAGTCTCAAATTCATCATCCTTAGGTATCGAATCCGGAAACTATGTAAATCTCTTAGGTCCTGATGCACGTTATTGCTATAAGAGAACAAACGTTATTTTTTTTTCCTATTGTAATAATTTGGATGGAGGAAGGCAATTAAACAAGGACAGACACAGTAGATTGGTCTGTAATTGCGTTCAATCTCCATTCCGATACCTAGCCCTTTTTCTTTTCTCGGTTTTGTTTCTTCAGAAAAAAGTGTGCGGAAGTCATTTCTGATTATAAAATGCATGTCAAACCAAGAAGTAAAACACAAGCATCTTTCAAGTCTCCTCATCATATTTTCTTGTACGCTGCTGCTGCTGCTGCTGTTGTGGCATAAATCCAATCTCCTGTATCAGTTGGGAATTTGATAAGAATCCCGGCCCTAGACTGGTTACTAATAGTTTAAAACATTTATCTGAACTGAACCGAAAAAACCGCCAAGATGAAACCTTAATTAAACACTAGTTACTAATAAAAATGCCAAAAATAAAATGATTAGCCCAATGACCACGAAATTTACAGCGTATACGTACACGCATACAAGATGAAATATCCAAATTTCAACTCATTTGAAAAACAAATGTGTCAGTCATATCATATGTCATACTTTAGTCAGAATAGGTAAAGGGTTTGGAAAAACTTTTGTGCATATATGTGTCAACGGATAAATTCACCATAAAATAATTCTTTAATGTATGCTTTTTATTTTTGGTGTGTAAAGAAAGTTTAGGAAATGTAATTTATCATATAGCTTTTGTGTCGGACAACCAGGGAGCATAACAAATAAATATTATGGCGATGATTAAATTGGAGATAAATAGCCATTAAAAATAACATGTACGTTGAGCAATTGTGATTATCCTTTATGTGTGCACGACTCCATGTTATTATTGGTGAGAGAAAATAGCACTCAACAAACACCGTAAAATGTGTGCTTAATGATTAATCCTGAACTTATAGTAACTGTAAGTGTGCATGATATTTAAACAAGTCACCAAAGATGATCATATGTCTCCCCTAATTAACCTGATGAGGCCGTACCTTCCCTTGAGTCAATTTATGCAATGGTACATATTCATGATATCAACACAACACTAGCAAACATGCTTATATATGATATCCAACAACACAAAATAATGTGTACTAATACATGTTATTTGCCTCCAAAAACATATAGACATGGGTTGAATCATATGAGACAGAAAAACATGTATATGTATACTTAACCCAAAACTTATTCATGTCTTTACCTGAAGATGAGACAAAGGCCGATCCTGAGAATTTGGGAGTCCTAGGTGAGCCTTCAAAGGGAAGCCCTAAAATTCTTTGATCCTTGATTCTTTGTGCATTGATATGTATAAAAAAAAATCGCTAAATACATAAAAAATTTACTTCTACATCAAATATCATTAAAAATTAATATCAAAAGAAGATAGATATACAAACATTTTGCAGTTAAAACTATAAGATTGAGAGTGAAGTATAAAACTTGATGATCAAGGGAGTAAAGAACAATAAAACTTAATTGGCGAGTATAATAAATTCAACAACGCCAATTGTTTCTCTTGTGTTTTTTTCTAAAATCAGCATCACACTAACGAATCGAATATTAAAATATTAAATTATTGAAAAGCAAATTCAAAGTTTTGATTACCTTAAAATACAATCTTCAAGACCATATGATAGTTGATTTAAACATTCGATATAAATTGAGAGATTGGGAAGTTGAAAGAAAAAAAGATTGCAAAGGGACTTGAGTTTTATAACTTTATATGCATTTGGACAAATGAATTGGGAGTAAATTTGAAAAAAAAGAAGAAAAAACTAGTGACCAACAAATAAATTATGATATTTCTTACTTTTTATGTATTTATGTGTTGTTTTTGGGCCCCCTCCGAGGTGGGGGTTCTAAACGGACGCCTACATGAACTACCCTGAGGGCCGATCCTACAAGTGAATTATTGATATAGTAGTGCCAAAATATTTAGTTTCAAATGGCTAAAATATGGATTAAATAGTGAGTGAACAACTGCAAGATACATGGTTGAATCTTTGCCTGATACATGTGTTTGGGTTAAAAACTTAAACTTTGGGCTCAGAAGGGAGTTGACCCAACAAAGAGGAGGAAAGCCCGAAGTCCAGCCCAAGTCCAGAAGGCAGAAAAGGGCTTTCCTGACTAGATGCAGATCATTTGCACCACTTGCTCACCTACCCAAGGGCCAAGTGGTATAGACCTGCCAGCTAATCAGCCCAAAGTACTTTACAGTGGCAGTACAAGTAAATAGTTGATGAGTCATTATCCTTCAGATTGCATTCGAGCAAGATTGCTGCTACAGGGGGTCAAGCCAAAGTGTCTATAAAAGAAGAAAGAAAAATTGAAGTTAAAGACACTCAAACAACCAAACAAATACAGACACTCAAACAACCAAACAAATACAAGCACAAACTCTGCTCAAAACCAGATTTGCCTTCAAAACGAAGCTGTAGTCAGCCCAAGCCTTCATCCTTTTCGGGATAAACCTTTGTAATAGCTCTGCTACTTGGTCAAAAACCTGCTGTAGTATCGATTTCTTTTTGTAAACTCATCTCCCTACCCTTTTTTCTAAAAAGTTTTCAACCCCCTGATAAACCACAAAGATAGGAAGTTGCAAGACGATCAGCCTTGCCCGACAAGGTTAAACCTTGCCCGACCCTCTTTGTTTTCGTCTTTTTATTCATTAGCCTAGCAATATGTTGTATACTACAAGTTGTATTCAAGTTATTTCTAGTAATATGGCTATTAAAAGACTCTCTCAGCGCTTGAATCCGATTTGAATATGTCTTCATAGTTCAAACCAGATCTAAGTTCTAACCCTCGGGCATGTAAGATTTGATCATCCAAAAGTCCTTGGCCTCAAGGCATAAAAAAGAACCTTATGTGGACTTAACTCATCCACGACAAGCTTTGATAAACAAGAAATCCGAAGTTACTTGGGGCGCAAGTAATCAACCTATCACCTAGTTTTATTTCCATTATATTATGATCACCATAGAACGTTGAGTATAGAATGAATTCTGATGGGAAGCCTCAAGGCCTATATCTAAGGCCCCACAAAGGCACCTATTTGGATTCATTTTGTCCTTCATGCTAGGGCGACGAGTATAGAAGGAATTCTGATGGGAAGCCTCAAGGCCTATCTAAGGCCCTACAAAGGCACCTATTTGAGTTCATTTTGTCCTTCGGGCTTAGGTAATCAGAAGTATAATGGTTATAAGATTTATATAACCAAGGAAACGAACCATATGTATATATTCAAATACTAAGTTAGTTATTAACGGGAAGCCTCAAGGCCTACACCTAAGGCCCTACAAAGGCACCTGTCATAACTAAAATAGTCTCTTGGATATATATACAATTAACATTCAACATCCGTTTTACATCTGCCATGCTGAAGATGGCAGTGGCACGCCTGAGCACTTAAAAGTTAATCTTGATTGTGAGCCTCAAGGCCTACACTTAAGGCCCTACAAAGGCATCTTTCAAAGTTAACTTTGTCATTCTCTTTCAGCCTTGCCCGACAAGCCTTGCCCGACAAGCCCGCCAGTGAAGCAGAAGCCTGATAGAAAGTATTAACCAGCGCCAACCTCTCGGGGAGCTGTGTGCTCGTCGGCCAGGAAACGTTCCCAACGGAAATTCCCACCACGAACAACATGTGCATACACAATTTTCAGGGTCAAATAATTACAGACATGATATATAAACCATTTGATGCAACATTCGAAAACAGACTTGTAGCAAGCGATTGCAAATACGTTATAACAAACATGAATATAATCGCGATATAACAGAAAACCATTGACCACAACATTTATAAACGATTTGTAATAGCATCTATATGGTTATATCAAAGCAGTTGAAAACAACAGCAACAACAAATTATAATTCCAGGATTCGATATTTAAGCTTTAGTTCTGCATGCATATTTTAAACTGGAAGAACTATTAGATAAACATGTAGAGTTCAGCAGTGTTTCTTATTGGTCTTGATAGCACAAAACTATGCTCTGATACCAATGGTAAACTTTATCAGTTCATGCTAATCAAAACACATAACCTTACTTACCTGGAGAAGACAACATGATGAATTATTGGATGATCAAACACAAGGACGGAATAGTTTGAAGCACTTCTACGCACTGCTGCTTCTTATACAAGGAACTAATGGGTACTTGATAAGAGCATATTTATGTGACTTAGTTAGCTTGTTTTCTTGCATTTTCATAGTTAGTTTCTGTTTATTATAGTGATTTAAGCTATTTTCATGTGTTTGTAGGTCCAAATGAGCCTAAGATTGTGGTGTGTTAGCAGCATGCATAGGGATCTCAAACTTATATAGGCCTCACGTCCCTCGAATCCTACCTACTAACGGATACTAGTAACCCTAATGAGCCTATAACTACAATACTAAAGCCCACATAATTGTATTCCACACAAGAACCCAGATCCAGAGCCTCTTCTCCGGCTTTAACTTTCAGCCGATGCCCCTTGCTCTTGCTCGGGGTAGGCAGTAACCCGTTACTTCCTATTTTTTACAGTCTCATTCTTCCCTCCTCCTTCCCTCCTTCCCTCATTTGCCTGTTTCATCTTTTTCCTCCCCTTTCACTTCCTCTGCTCCATCCCCCTCACTGCATCCATCTCTCATCTCCTTTTTTCCAGTCTTCTTCTTTCGTTTTATTCCTGGTTCTCTATGAGTTTATCTCAGTTTTCCCTGAGCTAGGTCTCAACTATCCCCTGAACTTGTCTTAGATATGGGCTTCATGGCCCTTATCAGGCATATTTTGCCTACTGTTACTGCTTTCTGTCTTTTAACTTTCTGTCATCCGTCCTTCTTAGTTGTGATACTCCATTCATATCCTACCATGTACTCGGATAGGCGGACTCCGATCAGGAATACGATACCAAATCTACTACCCTCATTCACTTCCCTTCCCCCAACTGGCATGCCAATGTTGGATCCCCATCGAGGCCAAGTGTTGGGTATTTTACATACCCCCTTAGCCTCACTCTCTACTCGTATGATATTTTGTTTGTATATATTTGCAGGGGTTAGTGAAAGGGATTTAGATATGGTGTCTACTTTCTCGGTTCGTAGTTTGGCTTTCTCCAAGGATGTGACCGCGGCAATGATGTGGTCTTTGCTACTGGAGA